AGAAAATGGCCGCCGTATGGAGGATCTTTGCTGGACGAGCAGGTATTTAGCCCATTGGAACGCATTGAATGGTTTTCAATGCGTTTCAATGGTTTAAAAAAAATTTTCGTTTGACAATGTTTTCGCTCTACAGCGATTTCGCTGGAACGAATTAACATTGTTAAGCGAGGCACCACTGTAATATGTAATGGCCAGAATCTATTGGTATTTTGCTCTGAAGTAACTGAAATTATATTAGTCAGGGTGGTGAATAACAGCTCATGAATGATATGCCAGTCATGGGCCTGGTCACATGCCAGTCACCCAACCAGGAATGCAACCAGACACGTGATGGGCATGCCGTTGGTTATCTGCAGTTTTTCACCAAAACGTTATGTGCTTTAGGTACTCCAGAATAAAATCCCAACAGGATTCTAGCCAGTGAATGACAAGGTGCTTTTAAGAACAATATTTTAAAACCTGGAATAATTAAAACAGCTTTGTGTGATGGTGAAAGGACAGCATAGTGCCAGGTGGGCCACCACTGAGAAGCCACCGCTGAAAAGGCTTTCCTTCTCTAGACATACCTGCTTTATCTGGATGGTAGGTACTTGGATGATTGCATCTGAAAATGAGCCAGTTGCACAATTAGGTTCATAAGACATCGCACAGTCCTTCCATTTCCTGGACCATATGCCATATAAGGCTTTAAACACAGGTACTTTAAATTGGGACGTGGTGGTGCTGTGGGCCAAACCGCAGAAGCCTGTGCTGCAGGGTCAGAAGACCAAGCAGTCGTAAGATCGAATCCACGCGACGGAGTGAGCTCCCGTTGCCTGTCCCAGCTCCCGCCAACCTAGCGGTTCAAAAGCATGCAAATGCGAGTAGATAAATAGGTACCATCTCGGTGGGAAGGTAAACAGCGTTCCGTGTCTAAATCATACTGGCCATGTGACCACGGAAAGATTGTCTTCGGACAAACGCTGGCTCTATGGCTTGAAGAGCGGGATGAGCGCCGCCCCCTAGAGTCGGACACGACTGGACAAAAATTGTCAAGGGGAACCTTTACCTTTACCTTACTTTAAATTGTGCTTGGTGACAGACAGGAAACCAGTGGAGTTCTTCCAATATGAGGGGCCTAGATTCCTGCCTACCACACACAGCTGCTGAATTTTAAACTGCAAATAAGATGCAAGCACAGTTCTGGGTTATAATTTACAACAGTAGCCAATCTTAGATGCTCCAGAAGTACCAATACCTGTGGGCTTGTCTCTGTCCAGGATATGCTACTGCTAATACATCAACGTAAGCTACTGAAAGGCAATGACATGTTTTGTCACAGGGGCCTACAATAGTAAAGCTGGATTTCAGAGTAGCTCTAGAATGAACATGAAACTTTATCCAGGAGAGCAACCCCATCATAGACATTTAAACCCTCTCTCACTCTGATAAGTGAAACCACCTGCTTGCAGAACCTCTTGTCAAAGGGAAGTTTCAGTCCTTGTCTCTCCCATTACTGATCCTAGGCTTCCATTTAGCACTTCTGATTCATCTGAGAGTGTGACTTCTTCGCTGTGATGTCTCACCACAGAATTCAGGTTTCCTTAGGTCTGTTCAAATTAACTGGCTGCTAAGGAAGAGGAAGAGGAAGAAATTGGTTGAACAGCCTTGTTTGCAGCTTGTTAACATAGCTCTTCTGTAGCCCCATAGGAGGCGCAGCTACAGAATGACTACTTAAGCTATAAACAAGGGCAGAGTGGTGATTTCCTCATCTCATTTCTTCCTCATGTTCTATTTTCCCCTCCCTTTTTCAGCTGTCTAGCACAACAGTGCTGGCATCAAACTGCTTTTTAAAGAAAGAAAGAAAATTGTGTATTCTGTCCAGAGGGGAATGGTAGAGAGCAATGGGACATCAGTTCAATCAATCACACTACCTGAATCAATGTGAACGAATCCCATGGTTAACAAAACTAGAAGCCCAGTGGCAGATACAAAAATTACAGATGCGAGGAAGGAATTACAGGCTGATTTGCATTTCCTTTTGCATCATGTGATCACTGGAGAAAAATGCAAATCAGCCTCTTCTAATCCTGTAGCTTTTCCCAATTTGTTTTGTCAATGTGGCCACACCCTAAGTCAGATGAGACTGGAGCTGGATGCCATCAATATACCAGGGGCTCCTCCCTCCCATCTTCCCCTACCTGCAAACACTTTTGTAGCTATCTGAAAGTCTAGAGTGGGGAGAAACTTTCCATCTCTGCCGTGATACAGAATAGGGAGGGCCCAGAGGAGTTTCCTTAAGTGGCAGAATGTAAAAAGCAACAAAAACTTAAAATTGGCTGCTTTTTTATTCTCACATACGGCATGATTTACAATCATAGTTTCAGCAAACAAATCCCAGCTATTCTTCCCCAGCCTTCAGTTTTCTAGTAGACTGACTGTCTTTCTTCCCACGGCATTCCATTCTTTCATTGTCCACCCCTGCAGCCCCTCCAGAACACTGTTAGTCACTGGTGGCATACGCATATTGCAGACATAAAGGAAATAAAGAATTGTGTGCCATCAAGTCAGCTTTGACTTACATCAACTCGTCAGGATTTTGGAAAACTTAGTTTTAAAAGACTTTAGGGTTTCCTGGCCTACAAACACTTGGTGGCAGCAAAGTTCACTTTTATCTCATTTAAACAAACAAGAGCATACAGCAACGTTTGTTTTTACCTGAACCAAGACAATCGGCCTGATTCCTCTTCCTCCAGAGAATTCCTCTGTAGAAGAAGCATCTCTCCTTTATCTAAATCACCTGCCTTCTTGGCAGCTGATTTGACATTAGAAACAAGCAGGACATGGAAGGCAAAGGCCGTTGCAAGTTCTGGTCTCCCTCTTATGTCCAATAGCTCTCAAGAGATTCAAGGATTTTATTTGTAGGAACATCTGAGGCAGCCATATACTTAGTTGGATGCTTCAATCCATATAATTCTGTAGTGCCAGCACTTAACTCCAGAATTTTAGCCAGGAGTCTTTCTCAACCTTATGAGATATCAAGACTGGGGCCACTTCTATATAAAGCATCAGTTCTTCAAAAAAGCTACAGCCCTTCCTTCCTTCCTTCCTTCCTTCCTTCCTTCCTTCCTTCCTGTTTCTTTGCTAGTCTGACTCTGTCTCATAGACTCCTGTAAGCTAATCCTTAAAGTGACTTTGTAAATTATGAGTGTAAGCAGACACATGTCTGTCAAGCATCCTCAGGGTGTTCCTCATAACAGAAAAGACACATTTGTCTTTTTTTGTTAACCACATGTGTACTGCGCATCCCTGCTGCAAAGGCTCAGTTTCTAGCAATCCTCTCTAGGGATGCTGTGTACCATTGAGTTTAAAAAAAAAGATTAGCATTCAGGCAACCACTGAGGATCAAGAGTGTAAACTGAAAATTCCCCAATTCAGTTTCCATCTTGTTAGCTTTGGAAGATATTTGGTTCCATTGTTGTACTGCTCTAACACTTAGCAGTTTTTTTTCCCTGATACTCAACTGAAATCTGGCTTCCAGTAACTTGAGTCTATTATTACATGTCCTGCACTGTGGGATGATTAAGAATGGTTAGCTAATCCTCTAAAGGTTTCATCCACATCAGTTTCTTGGTTGGGTGGTCGGTAGTAGATTCCAACTATATCCTTTTGGGTTTTTTTCTTTTTTTTTCTTTTTCTGTTTTTGAGTTATATTAACACGGATGCTCTGAATGGGATAACCAAGCTCACCCTCCTGTGTTTCTGTGTAGAAAAACGGTTTTTTTTACATATAGTGTGACTCTACCATCCTACCTATTCTCTTTGTTCTTTTTGGACAAAGTTATATTAACACGGATGCTCTCAATGGGATAACCAAGCTCATCCTCCTGTGTTTCTGTGTAGAAAAACGTGTTTTTTTTTTACATATACTGTGACTCTACCATCCTACCTATTCTCTTTGTTCTTTTTGGACAATATATACACTTCAATTGCTGTATTCCAGTCATGGGAGCCATCCCACTGTTTCTGTGTAGAAAAACGTGTTTTTTTTTTACATATACTGTGACTCTACCATCCTACCTATTCTCTTTGTTCTTTTTGAACAATATATACCCTTCAATTGCTGTATTCCAGTCATGGGAGTCATCCCACCAAGTTTCATTTATTCCTATCAAATCATATGTACCCTCCTGAACCTAGATTTCCAGTTATACTTGCTTGTTTCCCATATTCCTAGTATATAGTACATGTACTCCAGAGACTGTGTGATTTGTGACCTGCTTTCCTTCATACATTTTTATGAAGATCATTAATGGGCCCTATAGAGCTGCTCAGTCTGTTCCTCTTATTGTGCATAACTACTTACTTGTTTGCCATATTCCTGGTACATGTACTCCCGAGATTGTGTGATTTGTGACCTGCTTTCCTTCAACCTAGCGGTTCGAAAGCATGCAAATGCAAGTAGATAAATAGGGACCACCTCGGTGGGAAGGTAACAGCGTTCCGTGTCTAAGTCGCACTGGCCATGTGACCACGGAAGATTGTCTTCGGACAAAAACACTGGCTCTATGGCTTGGAAACAGGGGTGAGCACCTCCCCCTAGAGTCGAACACGGCTGGACAAAAATTGTCAAGGGGACCCTTTCCCTTTACCTTTCCTTCATACATTTTTATGAAGATTATTAATGGTCCCTATAGAGCTGCTCAGTCTGTTCCTCTTATTGTGCATAAGCCTTCATCTGTCTTTACCTTGTGTTTCTCTCCACCTTCCAATTCAGTTTAACACAGGGTGACTTCCAAAATAACATTTGTCACAGGATCACTGAACTGGAGGTGATTTCAGAGGTCATTTTGTTCAGTCTCTGGTTGATACAGGAAATCCAGTGCTATATAACCCCTGATATTTGGCCAATCAGATTTTCTCTATCAAAGGAGAGCAGGTCTGTTCTGCTATCAGACAGACACCTCAAATCCTTGGTTTGAGTCATACTCACAACAGCAAGAGAAAACAAATATGCTCCAATATGCATGTGACAGCCCTTCACATTGAAAAGGTTACTCATGTCACCTCTTGATTGTCTCTTTTCCAAACTAAAGATACCCAATCGAATCCATTCAATACTTCCACATCAGATATGGTCCCCAGTCCTCTTACCACCTTCATCGCCTTTAGTGTGCATCAATAGTGCTACGTTCTGTATTATTGCTCTTATTGATGTTGTTGTTGTTATTCCATTGTATTTATTAATAATGGTTCTTCTTTACAGGATTTCATTGCAGTTTCCTTTCTGGAAGTTGATTCAGAAACAAGGACACTGGCCTATCGGATTGACTCAACAGCTCATCAGCTGAGTCAGCAATGCGCTGAGAAGTTCGAAGTCTCTGGGCCTCAGAACTATGGGCTGTTCGTTCAGGTTGATGACCAAAGCATGCAGCTTGATGATGATGCCCTTCCTCACCGCATCAAATCCCATTTGTTGAACAAGGAGCCCAAGCCAACTTTCCATTTTATTTATAAACAAATGGGCAGCGAAGAGACACCGGTTCCTGTTATTAAGGACCCAGACATTTTATAGTAACAAAACTGTTCTGCTGTAGCAGACTCATTTCTGAGAGTTGTGATGTTTCCGCTTTCAAAGCATTTTTGATCTTCACTGCTAGAAGAAGCTGTTAGAAAGACGGCTTCTCACTGAACTGTTCATAGTGGGGACAGCATTTGAAATTCTTTCCCTGGCGTATTTTCTTGACAAATTTGATTTGTCACTGTAAAGGGAATGTTTCAAATGAACTGCACTCTTAGGAAACTTGAGAATTTAGAATTTTAACTTGAGAGCAAATGGTGTAGCCAAAGTTGGAAAATCAGATCCACAATATTGTCAGAGTTGGCCCAAGATATTTGGGGATCTGTGGTGGAAAATCCGAATGGTTCTCCCAGAGGTAGTATATAAATAGTATAGTAAACTAAACTATTTGGTGGTCTGCTTCACCTTTTCCAGTAGTAGGGTTGACTTTGATTGCCAGGGATAGCTCAAGGCATTTGGCCGCCTGAGTCAGTGCAGGAAATGGTGGCCTTCCACTCACCAAGGTGAAAGTGTATAGGAACCAAGGCCAATCAAGTTATTTTGGCACAGGAGGCAGAAAACCCTGCAAGAATGTCATCTTTTATATTCTACTTTATTTCTTTATAAACAATTCTACTTTCCTTCTTAAAGTAGAAATAAAACAAGCAACTAAATTCCTACAAATTTCCTGCCCCAAATCTGATGTCTAAGGTAGTCATCTCATTTTCCCTAATGGTAGGGCTGGCCCTACTGAACATATGATGGAAATAACATAAGTGTAAGATTTTGCAGTCTAAATAGACATTAAAAGAGAGACAGAACTGCCAGAGTCCCATATTTCCTTCCCATTCTTCCTTATAACATTTAGTTGAACACAACCTGTGATGTGATAAGAGGGGATTGCCCCACATCATTGGTTTTTGGTGGCAGACCAGTTTTCCATACAGTAATGATGTGATGTGTTGTGTTCACTGAGAGGTTAGTGGAAAGAGATACGGAACTATCACATGCTTACATTGCTGATGATACAAATCATAGCCAAGAGTCAGTGTTTCAAATCTCCACCAAGGTCTCTTTGCAGATATCACACACAAGATAACACAGGGATGGAAAATATGTTCCCTTTCAGCAGATGTTAATGGACTGAAACTCCTGTCATCATTTTCCAGTTGCTATATGGTGAGGGCTGGTGCAGGCTGTGGGTAACATTAGCCCTGTTTTAAGGGAAGACCATTTTATAGATGGACTGTATTGAGGTGGAGAGTCAGAGTTCAGTAGTAAAAGACTAGTTTGGCACAAATACAATCACGGTTTAATCACAGATAGTTATGTGTTGTCAAGTCGGAACCGACAGCAACCCTCATAGGGCTTTCAAAATGTGTGATATATTTAAAGAGTGGTTTTACCGGTTCCATTGCCCCAATGAGTGTCCATGGCCAAGTGGGGATTTAAACCCTGGGGTACAGTGTTTTCATCTGCTACACTATTCACTACACCACACTGGATATCTCAATCACAGACAGAACTGGGAATTCCTGGGTAGTCCCAGTATAAACCAGGGTTTGTGAAAATAGAACCTATGGGTCACCTGTAGCCCCCGGGATCCTAAAGCAACCCCTAACAGCTTGGATTCCTTCCAAACCTACAACCCCAATTTTAAAATAAACATTATTGGGGCTTCCTGCATGAAGCAGGGGGTTGGACTTGATGGCCTTTTACGACCCTTCCAGCTTCACTATTCTATGATTCTAAGTCTCTTTGTGTATCATGCATACGTGTATCATGTGAACGTAGGTTCACAACTGGAAGTCACAATTGGCCTAAATAGAGCCAAAATTATACCAAAATCACTTCCTGCAGCCACCTTGTGTATCATGCATAGGTAGGTTCACACTGGAAGCCACAATTATACCAAAATCACTTCCTGCAGCCACTAGTGGATCGACGTGGCTTTATTTGACAAAATAAATGAAGATATTCTGCTTGTTTAGAGTGTGTGAGGGGAGATGGGGATATGTGGACTCTAGACTTCTGGAAGTTGCTGGTGTCTGGTCTAGATGACACATAGATAAGGAAAGAACAGGGAAAGCTAAGGAGTCAAGAGCAGGATACTTGAAATCCACAGCTCTGCCTTCCAACAGAGAGGAGAACCAGGATTTCTCCCTTAGATCACTTGGTGTATGGAGTAATCACCATTTTCTGTTTCATGGGAGAGCTGACCTCAGAGAAAATAGGGGTGGGGGGCAGTGGAGTTTTTAGAAGCAAAACCCAGCTATGGAAGAGAAACACAAAATGGAAACTGTCAAAATTAGAAAGGGAGAATTGAAGCTGTGGAGTGGTGGGGAGCATATTCTGTGTAAGGCAACAAACAGCCTATGAGTTGCCACCACTGAACCCAGTGGTGTATATTCCTTGAACCATCATCCTGTGTACATTTCACCTTTTGTGGGTCTTTGGAGCTCTGTACAGACCAAACCTAGGGGATCCTGGATGTACGAAACTAAACCCTTGCATGTCATATCTTCTCTGCACATAACAAAACCAGGAGGCAAATATGTATACATACATGGTTTGTTGTTTGGATGGGATGAAAATGAAAAAGAGCTAAATTTAATTTGTTAAGTGGCATCCTTTTCCTTTGTACGACTCACTTTGCTGAACAGATGATTTTTATAGGCTGGATTTAGCCCATCTAAAAGCCGTAGTTCTTGCAGAAACAGAATGTCCAGTCAACTCACTTTTGTACGAGGCTGGTTCAAATATATTTTGTTGCCTGAACTGAAAGACAAGAGGCTGAATCTTCATCCCTTTGGCCAGCAGAAAGTTACTTCAACGCTGATGATGAAACAGCCTTTGTAAGCCTATCAGAGGGCAACAAATAGCTTAGGGGGTGTATGACCAGCTGCCTAGAATCCACAATTCTGCCCTCCAGCACCACTCAGCATCTGCCATCAGAGGTGACCACCTCATCCTACTTTGGTAGCTGCTTCTCAGAGTAGCCAACACGGCCAAACCAATGGCTACTTCCTCTTTGGAACCCAAGTGCCTTAAGAGAACTTGAAATCAACTAGTTATTTAACATGGTAGATATGGCGAACGGATTAAATGGAGTTATGATGTAAAAGGATACTTTGTCTCATTCAGAACGTGCATACCTGGCAGTATTATTTTTCTAACCTGTTGTTTATAAATATGTTGCCTGCTGTGCCATTGACATCCAGGAACATTTCATTAGATCTGTGCTGTTTTTTTAAAAAAAACTAAATGTATTTATTTTCTTCTGTTATAGTAGGTGTTCGAATACATTGCCTAGTTTGCAGAGAGAGCATAAACAAGAGACTTTGAAAATGCAGGTGTTCATTGCAGTAATTTCCCTTTCCTCCCTGAAAGGAGGTTAAATAAAGGAACCTGAAGGTCACTGGCTGGCCTTTCAATCAGTTCCTTGTGTATTGAGGGTCTCGACTCATTCTTGTTTGTCTTAGTCCTTTCAAGTTGCAATGCTTCTTTGTGTGATTTTTAAAAAAAAAATAGAAAGCCATGCTGTCAAAAATAGTTATCTCCTTACATTCCTTGCCCAGTGTATGGTTCTTTTCTTTAAAAGACACTTAACTTTGCATTGACATCCTGTATCGTACATTCAAGATCCAACATTTCATCGGTGCCGATCATCCTTCCACAGATGCAAATTAGGACTAAATCATACCAGCATTGTGTTCATAGTTGCTACAGCCAATTCAATGGCGGAGGCTCCAAAGTTTGTGTTCCACTGGTGTAGCCTTTGGTAGCCCCAGGTTGCCTCCGCATACCGGTGAGGTGGCAGAGTAGGACTTTATGGAGAACAGCCCATATAAAAAGTATAACGGTTCCCTAAATATCCTTTTATAAAACATTGTCTGCCTGTGAAACAAGGGATGTGAGAAGAGTTCTGGTGGCTCATACAAAACTCCCCACCCACTCTGTTTTATGCAGTGATCAACAAGTTAGCTTTGCTGCAGATCATAGCAATATATGCATCTGTGTGCCCCGCTGGTATCCCCTACCATGTCGGAGAGAATGGGATCCAGCGCCATGGGCTCCAGTTCGGCTTCTTCAGAACAGCTTTGATTAGCGATAGAGTGTCACTCCCCCACCTGCCTTTTCCCCACCCCCTGCCCTAGTTTCATAGGGATGAATTATAGTCTCTAAACCCTTGAGCATCACTTGAGAACTTGGGGAACCAGTCAACAACACTGGAGTCCCCCGAAGTTCAAGATCTTAAAAGCAGGAAGAAGAGCTTCAGTCCAGGAAGCCCCCCTTTTAGGGAAGCCTTGTATAGATGAGCAAAAGAAGTCAGGTTATGCAGCTGATCTCCCCCGTCCCCTCTTTTGGCATGCTTGTCACTTGCTTCTCCAGGGCTGTGGGGGCATCCAGGCTAATGTAATACCTGTTGCATCCTCCACACATCATCTTCAGAGATAGACAATGATCAGGTTCTGCAGCTGATCTCCCCCTGTCCCGTCTCTTGGCATGCCTGTCACTTGCTTCTCCAGGGCTGTGGTGGCATCCAGGCTAATGTAACACCTGTTGCATCCTCCCACACATCATCTTCAGAGATAGACAATGAACCTCTGCCTTCCCAGCTCCTGCCCTTCTATTCTCCTTGATCTTGTCCCCTCCATCAGGGAACTCTCTCCTTCAACTGCCTGAACCTGAGAAAACTTACCCACCTCCCGGCTGCCTGATACTTGTACACTGGGGCCAGACAGCTTGCTAGGAGTGTGTGCCTGCATCCCTTCACAGCATGTAACATGTATGCACCCACATGGACTTCCCTTCCCAAGGCTACTGACAGGCACACTCCTGCTGAAGCCCAGAGATGGCAGGTAGTGACTCCTTCAACTGCCTGAACCTGAGAAAACTTACCCACCTCCCGGCTGCCTGATACTTGTACACTGGGGCCAGACAGCTTGCTAGGAGTGTGTGCCTGCATCCCTTCACAGCATGTAACATGTATGCACCCACATGGACTTCCCTTCCCAAGGCTACTGACAGGCACACTCCTGCTGAAGCCCAGAGATGGCAGGTAGTGACTAGTTGTCATTCACCCACATGGACTTCCCGTCCCAAGGCTACTGACAGGCTGAAGCCCAGAGATGGCAGGTAGTGACTAGTTGTCATTGATAAATATTCGCTCCATCAATTTGCTTCATTGTGTTTGCAAGCAATCCAAAGCAGTAGCTACCACCACATTTTGTGGCCACAGATTCCCCAAATGAAGTAGAGCAGTGGTTCTTAACCTTTGTTACTCAGATGTTTTTGAACTGCAACTCCCAGAAACCCCAGCCAGCACAGTTGGTGGTGAAGGCTTCTGGGAGTTGCAGTCCAAAACTCCTGAGTAACCCAAGGGAGTCCCCAAATTAAGTAGAGCATACACAAGAACTGCTCCCTTCTCTCCTTTCCTTCTGTTGGGTAATAGAGCATACACAAGAACTGCTTCCTTCTCTCCTTTCCTTCTGTTGGGTAATACTGGTATTGCTTCTGCAGAAGATAAGAGCTGTTCAGCTTGGTCTATTCTGTAGGACGAAAGAAGCAAGAATAAAGGGCAAAGGAGGTGCAGGCTTCTGGATCTTGTAGTCCAAAAATTAACTTTTCTGAGCTCTGGCTTCCCTCCTGCCCACCACCACTGAGAAGGAATAGGGAGTAACTAGAGAGATGGCAGATAAGCATGTGTTTGTGGAAGAATGAAAGTCCTGTTAGTTTCCATCCAACTGTGGGCTGCACTTTGTGATGTGTAAGAAGGAATGGCACCGAAAGAGGTATGTGGAAAGCCTATTCCAGGTGGCAAAAAGTGCTACTGTGTTGACCACTCTAAATTGCCCATCTGAACTAGCTCAATGTTGTATTCCATCGGGAATTTCTCCAAGGTCTTCCACCAATTTTTTCATCTGTTTAATCATGGTAATAAACCTATTTAAAGAAAGTAAAACAACAGCACAATATCTTTACACAAATAGTGCTAGGAACTGTCTGGTTGCAAGTAACCCAGTTCTCCTTTAAAGCCACATTTTTGGCATTATGTCCCATTAAATCACTTTTGACTTATGGTGACTCCATGAATGAGCAATCTTCAAAATGTCCTGACCTCAACAACCCTGTTCAACTCTTGCAAACTCAAGCCTCTGGCTTATGACTGAGCAATCTTCAAAATGTCCTGACCTCAATAACCCTGTTCAACTCTTGCAAACTCAAGCCTCTGGCTTCCTTGAGGGCTTCAATCCATCTCATATTTGGTCTTCCTCTTTTCCTGCTGCCTTCCACCTTTCCCAGCATTATTGTCTTTTCCAGAGAATCCTGTTTTCTCATAATGTGCCCAAATTAGGACAACCTCAAGTTTTCGGCCTCGAAATATTCCTGCATTACAT